AATGTGCACGTAACAAATATAATTTATTTTACAGTAACTCATCGGATAAGTTTCTCGAGAATTGCGACTGTACGCGTATAAATTCATGAAGGTTTCCGCGTACGATATTTCGTTTGATTTCGGTAATTAAACGCATCACATATTGTATTGAAAAACAAAAAAGAGCTTCAATCGTGACACAAGACGTGAGATCCTAAGAGTGATTCGTAATATATAATATAATATCTGCGCGATAAAATCATATGCATCGATTCCGCATTTCCCGCGACATAAATCCTCGCGACTGACTTCGTTCTTTTTTCCTCCTTCAGCGTATTTCCCATTTCTGTCTCGTGTTTCCTCTCCCTTTTTTTCTATATATAATAAAAGATACGACTGTGGATGAAAGAGACGTAGCATTTCCCTTCCTGTTACCCCCTTGCCACACTATCGAAATTGCAAGATGCCCACGTCGGCCAATGGTGGTGGTTTTCAGGAGAGGGAGAGGCTACTAATGTGGGAATTAAGAATGTGCTATAGACATGTCTAGCTATCTCTGAGATAGAGAGAAAAAGAGAAAGAGAGAGAGAAAGAGAGAGAAAGAGGAGAGAAAGAGGTACGAATCGGGCGCATGACAGCCGCGAATCAATAAAGGAGATAAGATTTGGCATACAAGGATAACATTGATGTTCACTAGTCGCGATCCTCGGTCTCCATTCGCCGATAGGTACCTCATCTGTTCGCTAGCGATCGTGATAACGGTCCACATTCTTATCGTACGCCTAAATTCTCGTTCAAGCTTTGTGCAAAGTATAATACAATCCCTGAACCTAAAGAATTTAGGAGATAGGTCCGGAATATACGAACAATTACTCGATGAGTTTAATGTATTGAGACAATGATGAATGCTGCAATGGATGATCGGGGATTAGTGCAATAAGATTCGATAATACGGAAAATTGATGTAAAAGAGATTTATGCGACAGATTTGAATGCCATAGCATTTATGATTGATGAATTCTGATGCGTGCGCGTGCATTTCTTGAATTGCATACAGTTTGTTTTGTGAGAGAAATAATAATAGAAGTTTTACGTAGATAATATCAGTAGCAACGATGATGATAACAACTTGAGTACGACACGCAGCGACATAGGAGAAATATTAATAAATTAAACAAAAAAATTTATTTCGAAAGATACTCGAAAGAAAAACTATATTATTCCAAATTCATCTAAACGGAGAATTTTTATAAATTTTAGTACGTTCATTCACATAAATCATCATGAGATTTTTAACTGTTCCGTTTATTCAGAACTACATACAATGTAATAATCATTTTATGTGAGAAATAAGTATGGATTAAAAAAAACTGAAAAATTTTAAAAATTATTCGATGAAGTGCCTATACAATACATTATTGATGAAAACGTTAGCATCTTTGTCATATTTTATTGCGTGATGCCATTTGAGATGTGAATTCGCGAAGTTTTTCGACTAATCGATATCATTTTCTAACTAAAAAAATGGCTCTGCATAAGAAAAAAAAACGTATTGCACCGTAATATTCTTTATGAAACTTAATTGTTTCATGCTACATGGAAAACATAATTTTACAAGTATCTAAGAATTTAGATATAGATCTAAAAATAAATTGGATTATTAATACAATTATGCAGAGTATGATACTCAAATATGATGCTGGAAAAAGTTTTGATATTCTAATAATTAACTTTACTTCTACATAATTACTTTGATGAATTATTATGCATCAACTAAATTATTTTTAAATTTATATCTAATTAAATTTTTAGATGCTTCAGCAAAATCATTTTTCCGTGTGAAAATACACATTACGTGTCTCCACAAATTGAACTTTCGTTAGTTATAATTATATGCGTGCGCATGTATATGTGCATGTGCGTATATTCACCAGAATTGGCAAAAAACGTTTTTTTTAAAAAGAACAAAACATTGTGTTTTAAAAAATATGCTTTTAATGCTTTGTACATATTTTCAACAATATTATTACAAACATTTTAAAAACATCGATTAAGCATGTTTTGAACAATTTAAAATATGATTTTTACCAACTCTGACATTCACACATCTACATATCGTTAAATGTTAATAAATTACGTGACGAAATGAATGAATGTCCAATTTGTTGGAGACAATCGCTGGATTCACACTGGATTCGACGTGCATTGACGTTCTACAACTAATCAAAAAGTAGAATTTTATTTCGTATCGATGATACGATGCAAAATCTAGTGTAAATTCAGCAATTCATTGCGACACGTTCCTTTTGTCGCCAAATAGAGATCCTAAGTGTATCAACTGTATAGACTTAAAGAACTTTATATTTGTACAAGAAAGAGAAAGACGTTAATAACAAAAACAAAAATGTATGCATAAACTAAATGTTTTTTCCAATGGTGCGTAAAAATTATATTTATTAAAATATTTGAGCTTCGCACAAAGCACATCTTGGATTTAGCAAAGTAAGATTAGGCAAGCAATTTAAGAAAATATAAAAGCTACAAATATTTTTGTTTAGAGAGAAGTATAAAATAAATTTGTTTGCAGAACAAAAGACATTCGATATTTTAATGATATGTCGGTGAATGAACAAGTCTCATAATATACTAAAATTTTTTACAACATAATCACGAAAAATTTTTAAACAGATATTTACGGACAGATATAACAAATGAAGTATTTAATCATTATTGTATTGAATATCGCTATATATTATGCATACATTTACGTATCGATTAAAAAAATGACTTGAGTGATAAACTTGAGTGACTTTATGAGGAGATTCTGCAATTAAAGTTTGAAAAGCAATATTTTAAAGAAATAAAAATGAAGCGATTATTTACTTAATTTCAAAACAAATCTATCCGACCTCATCTGTGCGTTATGAATCATAATTTCTAAATCATGAATGATTATTAAAAATAAAATCTAGGGAAAAATGTAGGAAAAAAGATCTTCTCTTTTTACGTGGAATCTATACAGGAGAGGAATTACGATGTCGATCGTTAACTCATAAAATAAATCCATGACTATTCCACAGTACCGTATGATCATTAATAATGAATTTGATTGGATACATTTATGTATACTGATGTATCTAAACAAATTCGTTGTAATTTCTTATATGCTAAATTCTTTAAAGAGAGAGTCATGTTTTTAATCATATCACATACAATACGTGTGGAAAGCAAAAGGAGGTTTATGATCAAACCAACTGGTCTTCTTTGTACGGTACTGTAACATACCTCAATCCCAGATTCAAGCATAGAATTAGCGTGAATTCATGAAAAAGTGAAGAAATAAAGTAGCTCTATTACTGTTTCTTAGTACATAGGAAAACGCGTATTTCGATCAATAAATAAAACGACTCGTCGAGACAAGCTTTGAAAGAGTGAAACCTCATCATCTCAGGCGCATCTACGAATATATATACACAATAACGGAATGATTCCTAATCACTAAACATTGAATCATGACACTTGCAAAGCGTTATAATCAACATTTTCATGTTATACTTAAAATTTAATTAGTAATTACCGTTAAATTGTTTATATTGCATTAATAAAAATTCCAACGTAACAACTGAGTTGCCAGCGGTGTCGATTATGAAAGAGAAAGTGATATTTCTTCTTATATTTCTCAATACTAATATGAATTGCGTCTGAAATCTTTAATTTGTCAAATATTACTCTGCAAGTACTTGATTTTTACGTATATTGCGGTATTCGCAAGTTTCGTTTACAAGTACCAAAGAATGAACATCAAATACCTTGCATACGATTAGTGGACATGCCTTTAACACATGAATCGAGGACTGTAATAGGCGAGAAGATAATCGGAATCAGGATCAAGGATCAGAGTCGTAGACTGGGAGCGAAGGTAGTTGAACACCTGAAAAAACTCACCGATTGGTGACAGGTGGTTTCAATCATCCAAGTGTCAGCCCAATTCTAATTCGTTAAAGCTATAACTTTGTTTCTGAGCAAAAACTAAAAGGCGGCTCCATACGAAACTGTTTCACGCAATATAATCATCAATAAGATAGTCAATGGCCTATTTGGGATGTTTCATTTACAAGTTTCTATTCTTATCTTCCTAGAGTGACTATTATCTACGTACTCTGTAAATAAAACATCCTCGGGTTTATGCCAGTGTCGGTGATTCTTATAATGCAATTATTGCATTATCGATTGCATTACAGTTGTATAACGAAAAATAATGAAGAAAATCATTATTAGCGTCTTTCTTTACGTGCACAATGGTAAGCTTCGGGAGCAAATAATATTCTATACTGTAACTTGCATGGAATATCTAATTCTTATAAATAATAGCAACATTAAGTATCGCGTAAATAATAGTTCATACTTAATACAAACAGTAAAGCGTATTAAAACGCTAACAGTACAATACTGTTTGCAAGTCCCTAAACAGGTAGATCATGGTATGTAACTTGCATACGAGTAATAAAGTATATCAGAGTTACTTACAACTAAATCATATGCATTTTTAAAGCATATTCCGCAGTGCATTATAATAATGCACTTTATATAAGAATATATTTTATATTTTGTGTTTTTTTTCTAACATGCGGAAACACTCGCAAAAATACGGAAATTTCCATACATGTAATTTTCTCGATCAAACTATTTTTGCTCGTCATATAAATTATGTAAAATTATGTTACATCAAGTTATTATCAAATCTTAAGTTCCTTGTTCAAGTGTTTATCGATAAAAAAAAAAAAGAGTAATGTAAATGATATATACAAAAAGGAAATATAAAAAGTATGATTACTATTGTTTCCAAGCGAAATAGATTTAACCTTCATGGTAGCAAATTTCTTTTAACTGCGTCTCAAAAGTATTACTTCAGTGATACAGATGACATCACAGACACTGGCACAATCGCTTAAGCTTTCAGCGTAATTGTTCCCATTGACTGTCGATGTTTTTTTTATAATACTATTAATTATAGTGTCTCACATAAACACATAAATCGTCATCAATTGATTGATTCCACCTGGACAGCTTCCTCCATTGCGCTGTTTTGCTTTTACGAAACGAAGGACTTACAGTGGGCAGTGGATGGTTGCATGAGAAATGTTTACAGTCTAGATGACCCAGAGGAGCATCTGTGGATTGATGTGAGATAATAATTCCACGATGATCAAGTGCATACGAATCCTTCCTGCGCTACTGAAGTTGTACTAGTAGGTCCTTCCTAAACAATAAATATACATCAAGGAAGAATAAATTATATATATAGAATATATTATTATTAATTGTCGTGAATAAAAAATTAAGTTTATCTTAATGCATTTCCATTCGATGAAATATAAATTTTGCGATTGAGTGCCTCCATGAAATAAAGAAGAAATTATTTAATTTGTTATAGCATATAAATTTTCCTATTTCTTAGCTTTAAGATATTTTTTAGAATCATGAAATATATAGGTAAATTGCTATCGATGTTTACATTTCTAGCACATCTAGAGTTCTATATCAAGCAAAAGAAAATATATCAATAGATGAATACAATGTAAAAAAAGTAGATAATTAAATCTGTTACGTGTTATCATGCGTCTACTCTTTTTTACTTCTTACCTAGCAATAAGATGGAGAAAAAAATTTTGTGATAAATTAAAATTTTTCACTTACTGTTTTATTTTCATGTTTAATTTTATCCTGTTATAAAAATTATTATTCATTATGTATAATATCTTACGTCCTTATTAGTTGATAGAGTCGGTTTGTATTCATCCATACTGAAGCCAGAATTACTATCTTCTCCGCAAGATTGAACTACTAACGTTGTGTTCTCCGCCTAGAATAGGATAAACATTTATAAAAAGATTAGACGATTCAAGTGATGCATATAAATGTAAAGAATTACATTTAATAATTAATGTTGTGTTCTTCATCTAGAATAGGATAAACGTTTATAAAATGATTAAATCAATTCAATCAAAGTGATGTGTACAAGATGTCCGGTCATAATAGGACCTCCTATGAGTACGTAGATTAAGCTGTATCGAAGGCCTGTAAAATTTTGCTATTTTTACAATAGTTAACGAGATATTAATTAGAAATCAAATGAGATCGCCAAATGAGTATATATGCTCAGCCTCGGTAGTCTCTAATTAATTTTTTGTTAACTATTGCATATAAATTACAAAATAGTACATTTTTTCATTTAATTTCGTCCGCTCTACTTACTCATGAGAGATAATCCGATTATTACTGAACACTCTGTATAAACATAATATCCGTATATTTAATTCTATATCTAGATGAATTTAAAATATTTTGTTTTTCTTCGACTATTTTATAGCATATGTTATAAAATATATGCTACCCACTTGTTCTTCTGCCTCATTGATTCGTCGCTTTTTTCCACACGCATCAAGCGTCTGATCTGATAATCTCTTTCTGCTACTTGTATCGCCTTGACTCCGCGGCGATACACTACCACTGTTTCCATTTCCAGCAATATTGCCATTTCGATGCATATTGCTAGAAACCTGCAAAAATTGTATAGTAAGTATGTAATTGGATATTTTAAATTTCAATTTCTAGTGAGTAAACTATAATTGAACTGCTTATAAAATATAGATCTATATTCTCTTGTATAATATATATGCAAACATTCTAAAAATATTCTCTTGTATAATATATATATATGTAAACAACATAAAATTATCAATGTTAAAATAAAATTCAAATAAGTAGAGTATATTTCCCAAACCTTCCTTTCCTTTTTCAGTAAACTTGGAGATACATAAGTGTGCAAATCCTTTCTTTTTACATGTTTAGCCTCAATCCACATTCCCTCCTTGAACATATTTATTTGTTCTGCTTGCCTTTCAACTATAAGAAATACATATATAGTTATATATTCCAAATGTGTATAATTTATAAGCTATCAATTAAATGTATTTAAAACTCAATCGGGACAGTCGTTACTGAGATCCGATAATTTTGGCAGTGCCATGTCGAGAAGACACTATCGTGTCTTCAGATAGTAAAAAAACTTACCTGTATCCACAAAGGATTTGATATCGTATGTAAGGTCAACATTGATATTCTCGCCCTTTTCGCTTTTCTCGTTCTTTTCGCACTTAGAAAAAGCCAGGCCGATAAACCACATAGAACAATGTTTGCCCGATTCGGGATTTAATGGTGGGAACGCTTCCGGATTAACGTGTGCCAAAGTAATATGAGGATTCCTTTCCAACATACCTGTGAGAATGGTTGTGATTTTGCCAATTTGGCATTCGCGAATTATTAGTATCG